GCCAGCGAGCATCATTTAGTGATTTGTCAAGTCACTGGAGATGAGAGGCTAGAAGGGTGAAGGGAGATGGCGAGGGATATAGATTTGGGAGACTTTGGCATCAAGACAATGAACTCTGTGAGAAAGAAGTATAGGAATGATGAGTCGAGGCCGACCATTTGGGAGTGATCACATTTATGGAGATAGGAGAGGAACTTGTGCAGATAGTGAAGAAGTCTACACTGTGCTTGGTAGTTCTCTTCTCTCCATAAAGGGACAAGTTCTGGGTGTAGGAAGCAGATGATGAGAATCAAGAGTTTAACAAACATGTGTCACTGTCTTTCTACTCTGGGCCAGGCACTGTGGTGGGTGCTGGGAATATAGAGATGAAGAAAACCACCTTGCTCTGTCACTAAGAGTTTGTAATCTAGTGAGCCCTATTTTATTCTTATTTAGGAGAGTAAAGTTTTCTTAATGCCGTCTGTATAAGATATTTATCAAAACTGTCTCCAAAACTTAGAACATTGGTGCTAGAAAGAACCTTAGCAATCACATATACCAGCAACTTTATTTATCATATGAAAAACTGAAGCCCAGAGAATTGCTTAGTTGGTGGCTAAGTCTTCTGGCTCCCAGATCATGTCACCAACAGCATGACTGGCATTATCAACCATCTTAGAGAGGAATTCTACTGGGAGCCAGGCTCTCTCTGGAGGTATAAAGACCTGACTTTTGGAAAGTCATTATCAAATTGAGTAGAGAGATTGTTTTGGTCAGCTTGCCCTGTGGGAAACTGCCACCCCAATGGGATTCTGCTGGTGAGTGCATTGCCATCCTTCCACCTTCGAGGCTTCCTCTAATATGTTGGATTGTTCAAGTGCTCTTTGAGGGTTTCCAATGCACTTTTCCTCTAAACTTTACCACTTCTATTATGGCACAGCTACTTCCACAATCAGCCAGAGTGCTAAATTCTTCCTGTTAGCCAGCCAACTCATATTTTATCAATTCTACCTCAGGGGCATCTCCCGAATCCATTCTTCTCTCAAAAATTTCAATATCACTTTCATTTATCTCTTCTGGACCATTGCATCATGCCCCTAAGTCTTTTCTCTGCTTTCATTCATCCCCTCTTTCATCTAATTCTTGCACATTGCTGTCAGATTATCTTAAAATAATGAAATCTCATGATTGTATTTGTTTTCTTTCCCAAGCACCCATGTGACATTCTGCTCTATAGTATTTCTGCCAAGTGGTCATCCAGCCCTTTCAGTTGTTTTCACGCATTGCATTTCCATTTTAAACACATCTTTCTATTATAAAGTTATTACTTATGTTGAAGTAAAATATTTTATGCTACTTTGTACTTGTTTCATGGGTATAATTTCCTCTTGAATATCTCTGAAGATGTTAATAAGAAAATTTTTTAAGTTCTCTTTTGTTTACTAGATTAACTCTTCTCTAAGAGGTCAGTTGCTTTGCTTTCTCACTCTCATGCATTTTCATGAATCCAACTTTCCTGAAATGTCCTGTGAACCTTGATTGTTCTTTCATATGTAAACATAATACTAGATTCCTCAGAATTAGAGTCTGTTGTGGGTTTCTTCAGCAGTTCTGTGGTCACTGTTCCAGCAGTAGGCCTCTCCCCTGAATGACATGACCGACTATTTTGTGTGGGGAATAGATATACAGAGTGTGTGTAGGGGATAGAGGAATGGATGATCTCAAGTTATTACCCAAAAAGAGTTGTATAATTAACAAAAGTGGGGTGGGTAGGATATTTTAATTACTCATTGAAATATTATAGTGAGCTTTCAATGATCACTAAGGTTATTCAGCTTTTAAAAATCAGACTTTTTCTTATAGAAAATCAATATTTCTTTTTTTGATAACTCTCAGAGCTCTCTAGATCCTTATTCTAATTTGAATAATTGCTCTATAGACCTGCATATCTTCCATACTGAGATTTATTTTTATGACATTTCTCTCATGTTTCTTGATTTCCCATGTCTTTTTTTTTTTTGGCAGGGGCGGGGTTGGGATTTCTTGGAGATCATCCTTAAATAATTATCTCAGAATCTATGGATAGTAAAACCTTTAAGTCCTTGTATTTATAAAAGTGTCTTTATTTTGCAATCACACTTGAATGATAGTTTAGTTGTGTATAAAATTCCAGGTTCAAAATAAACTTCCCTGAGAATTTAGAATGCATTTTTCAATTTCCTTCCTTCAGTCTAGTGTTATTAATTAGAAGCTTGAGGATAATTTGATAATCTGTTACTTGTCCCTTTATAGGTAACCTGTTCTTTCTGTGAGAGCTTTTAGGATCTTCTCTTGCCACTTAGAATTCTGAAATGTCATAAGAACGAGACTAGGTATGAGTCTTCTATCATTCGCCTTGCTTATATGCCCTTTCAATATGAAGGTTCATGGTATCAGGCCTGGGAGATTTTCTTCTTTCTTTGGCTATTTATTCTTGTCATTTTATTGATTCTGTCTTTTCAGAAATCATTTTAAAATCTTGTGTTTTTTTGCTTCTTCTCTGAAGACTTTCTTTTGACTTTTTCCCCCTTAGTCGTTCTATTGAATATATACATTTCAACAATTGAATTTCAATTTCCAAGAACTTTTTCTTTTTTAATGGTTATTTAATTTTCTTATTATCCCGCTCTTATTTTAGGGATACAATATCTTTGGATATTTCTGAGGATACTAATTGGAATTTTAAAATTACATTCTGTTCCCTGAATTTTCTATGTTCTACACCCTTGCTAATTCCACAGTCCTCTATCCTTTAACTCTGTTAGTAAGAGCCTCCCTCCTCCACTGCTGTCTTTTCTTAATGTCTATTTTGGCTGAAGGGCTATCTATTCCTATGATCTCATCTGCTTTCCATGTTCCCAGAAATTTATCTAAACTTCTAAAACTTTCATTTTGACAGTGAAAGAAATTTTGTTATTTGACATGAATATTTGAGGAAGAGGAGGAGGGGGAAGAGGAGAATGAGTAGACTTAGTTTACCACCTTAAACTATTCCCATCTCTTGTTTCTAAAAAGTCTTTTAAAACTGTCTTTGATATTTATTATTTTGAAACAAAATGGCAGCCAATAAAAGTTGCTACCTAGATATAGCTTCAGATATTTCGAATGAATTTCTGAAAAAACTGCTCTATGAATTTCATGTCATTATCTTGAAAAGGCCTAGAGTTCATTGAGAAGCCAGAAAATGTCTTAGTCTCTAGGAGGTCTCCTAATTTCTCTGCTTCAAAATGTAATTCTCAGAATAGCACGGAGAATAAAAATCCCCTCTTCTACTGCCAGCAGTGTCCCTGTATGTTCTAGAAGGCTGTAAAACCCAGTGAGCTCAGCCCCTAGCCTCTCTCTAGTTCTCCTTACATCTTTTTCATTTTCCACTCAGGTCCTGAGTTCTAAATAAGAGCACAGTTTAAGAACAGTGGTCATAATCTATGGGTCTCATTTGTTCCTATGATCAGAGGGTCCTCAGACCTCATAAAGGGAATGTTTTGTAATGGGTTGTTATGGGATCTTCTAGGTGAAATCCCCAGATGAGGAAACACAAACATATTATAAAAACGATGGAGAAGAAATCCATCAAACTGTTAACAAGGGCTATCTCTGAGGGGTACAATCATACATACTTTCTTTCTACTTTATACATTCCTATATTCACAGAATTTTTGTGGCAGATTTGTGTCATTTTTATTATCATGTAGGAAACAAGGACCAGCCTGGCCTTTGTTTCCCCCACAATCTGCCCCCTGCCCCGTACCCAACCTCATTTCCCACTCCTTTCTGACATGACCAATAGTGTGACCACCCCAGTGTCCCACTGAGGGTCTCATAGTTCTTTCATGTCATCTGCTCAGCAAATACTGAACAAATCAACAAATGATAAAACTAGTGAATGAATTTTCTATCTCTGTCCTTAGATTATGGTTTCCCAGACTTAACTGAGAAGGCAGGTTCCATAGAAGACACCAGCCAGGGTCAAGAGACACCGAGCCTCCCCTCTTCCTTGCCCAGGATGAACCTGGTGGACCCACTCTGGCATATGGCTCTTGGAGAGGAGGAAGAAGAGGAAGAGGAGAGGGAGAAGGAGGAGGTAGAAAAGGAAGAAGAGGAGGAAGAGGAGGAGCTGCTGCCTGTGAATGGAGCCCAAGAAGAAACCCAAACTCAGGCCCATGACTTTTCTCTCATCAGCAGCAGCCAGACACCAGGGGCCCCCAAACACAGGCATGAAGATTCTGGGGAGCAGGCCTCCTTGGATGTGGAGGTGGGGAGCAGCATGGAGCCAAGCCTGTCACCACCCTCAGTCACCCCAAGTACAGTGACTCTGGTGGGTCAGGACTTCACCAGCCAAAAGGCAGGGGTCACAATGCTGCCAGCCGCAGGGCATGAGGTTGAGTTTGAGGTCCCTCAGGAGGCAAGTAAGGAGGCTACTGTGGGAACAGCTGGATTGGCTGGCAAGCAAGGGGAGGTGTTGTCCTCAGCCTCATTCCCTCAAGCAGAAGCCCCCAGTGGGGCTGAGACCCCAAATGAAGGCACCCTTTACCCTGGAACTTCAATTGCTTTCCCCCTGACCCCCCAAGACATGGAGCTGGCACCTTCCTCTGCTATCTTGGGAAAAGAAGACCTCAGCCAGCAACCCCAAGAAGGGCAGGCCGCTGAAGCTCAATCCAGAATCCCCTGGGATTCTACTCAGGTAATGTGGAGGCATGTGTGGGCCATTGGAAATCCCAGGACTGTGCAGTGGTGGGAGGTCTTCCAGGCTGATGATGGAGGTGCTTGACACCACATAGATCCTCAGCAGAACTGTTGGGGATGCATACCTCATGGCCCAATAGTGGATAGCCTCACTGCATTTACATGCAATGTAGAAGACTTGGAAGAGCTTAGTGCTCTATCCTGATTTTTATTTGTTCAGGTGCTACTGCTGCTATCCTTGGCTTTCCCACTGCTTATGACACTGGTGAGAATTGGTGTCTGACCTGTGCTCTCTCTAGCACCGCTCTCTCTAGCACCGTTTCCATGCCCACCGCCATATATGCAGTTGCCCTCTGTTCCTCCCCCATTACGCCCACCTAGTACACACACACACACACACACACACACACACGTGCATGCACGCACATAGGCTCAATTCATTGCTCATGCCCCTGCAATACCAGAAGGAAAGGAAAGGCGTCTCAAATTGTCAGCCTGTGGATCTGGCCCACAGGCATGTTTCGTCTGGCCTACAAAATGTTAAAACAGGTTTGTCTCTAGCTGGGGCAAGCCCTCTGCAGTCTGGCCCCTTTGGCACAGTTCCATCTTCCTTTCATTCCTGTCATTCCTGGCTTCCTCCTCTCACATGGTTCCTAAAGATATCTGGGTTTGTAAATCTTAGATTGGATCCTGGCCATGTCACCTTGCAGAGGCTGTCAGCTCCCATCTAGCTATTACAGACCTACACATGGCCTTCACCTCCTAGCTTCCCAAAGAGTTTCCACTCATGCTCTCTCTGGATGCCTTTTCTTATGCCTTTTTAACTGTCACCATTCTTTTTGTTTCATTGTACAGGTGATCTGCAAAGACTGGAGCAATCTGGCTGGGAAAAACTATATCATTCTGAACATGACAGAGAACATAGACTGTGTGAGTGGTGAGCTAGGCTAAGGATCGCAGGCAGAAGTTGGAGGCAGGCAGGCAGAGCGGGGGCAGAGGGTGGGCACTGGGGAATGGGCAGTGGATGGGGTGGGAGGCTTAGCCCTTAAGTCAGAGGAAGCCAGCCTAACCCAGAGGATGAACCAGCACCCACCAACATCCAAGAAGACAGTGCTTTTATATTTTTTAATTTCTAAGGGCTCTTTTGTTCTTGTTCCCCTCTGTTTTTAATTCAAAGGTATAGTTTTGCTCATCTGTGCAATGTCTTATCTCTCTGAGGATACTGAAATTATTTTTTAAAATGTTTTCTCCCCACATAGGTTACTTTCCCCATTTCTTTGTTTCCATTCAGTTTTTCCACATGCATACTCTCCTCAAATGTCTGGTGGCATTTGCTCACTGCATTTAAAGAGGGCCATCAGAAAGCTAGTTGGAACCTTTGAGAGCAATGGCAGATTTTCTTAGCTACGATTTCTTAGGAGGGTGGGCTGGCTGGGTCATTTCATTTAGAAATTTCTAATCTCAACATCTTTAGGACCTTCCTCCTGGGTGATGAGATTCTTTGAAATGGAACTGCTGTTCTATCAGGAGTATAAAGCACTGGTTGCCAGTGTTCTGGGAGCCAGGGTGGGGAGAAGGCTGGGCATCTCACTATTAGAAACACGTATGTATAAATATATTCATTTACATCGGTGTTTGTAGTGTGAGCCCCCTTTCGCAGTTGTGCCTGGTGTCCTCTAGGTCAGAGACTCTTTGTTTCCCCCTCTTTAAAGAATAAACTTCCAATCTTCTGCTGGGGGGAAGGGACATTTGTCAGCTGTGTAGTGTTGGAGAGAGGAACTAGGGATCCAGCTGCTGCCTAAATAGGTTTTCAAACAGTTTTCCTATTTTTAGTACAGTTTCATTCCCTCTTGCCAAGTAACCAGTGCTGCTTATTCCAGCATGTTTGAGGAGTTCAACAGTTTAAGTGATTGCTTCTCAGATTTCCCTCTTTTGGCTTAGAATTCTGCTCTTTGGGGCTTGCTAAATCGGGAAATTCTAACTCATTCATCTGCCTCCAGTGTCCAGATTCTGTTGCTCTTGTCTCTTTTCTGTTTTATTTTGGTTTTGTCTTTGTGGTTTTAGACTTAAAAAAAATTCTTTATTCTTGTTTAGTAGGTATGGGGGAAAGAGAAAGTACATGCGTGTAATTAATACAAAAGTGGCCAATGAGGTGTTTTCTTTTCTCCAGAATCATTTTAAATGGATGGATTTTAACATATTGATGTGTTTTAATTCATCACAGTTATTATTTTTACTGATGCTCAGATGCCCCGTATTTGATCAGTGAAAGCCTGTTTGAGTTGGCTTCTGAGTCCTTTTGACCAACCTATTTAGTGTTTGGTAGTTTCCTGGCTTTCTGGTGTAATAAGATGTTCCAGGCTCATCTTGTAAGTTCTCTCCCACAAACACAGAATCAACATTTCTCCAAGCTCTCATTCCTTTTATTGAAAAATGGTATTTAGAGGTCACAAAAAAGGTAGTGGGGACCCTTAAATACTTGAACAATAAAGTCTAAAGATAATACCTTCTCTTTTCAGGTAACACATAGATATTAAAATGCTTTCATTCTGCTTTCTCTGTTTTTGTTTTATTGTGCTCATCTAATATGTGATATCCACCTAAATAGTCATTGTTTTTATGGTGGATTTTTTTTTATTGTGTTAAAAAACTAACATAAAATTTATCATCTTAATCATTTTAAAGTACGTAGTTGTATTAATTACATTCACATTGTTGTGAGACATATCTCCAGGACTTTTTCATGTTACAAAACTGAAACTCCCCTTTACCACCCTCTCTCAGTCCCTGGCAAAATTTGTCTTTTAGTGACTGACTTATTTCACTTAGCTGAATGTTCTCAAGGTCCATCCATGTTGTAGCATGTGTCAGAATTTCCTTCCTTTTTAAGGCTAAATAATATTCCATTGTATGTAGACCACATTTTGCTTATTCATCCATCCGTCAGTGGATATTTGGATTGCTTCCACCTCTTGGCTATTGTTAATAATGTTGCTATGAACATTGGTACAAATATCTCTTCAAGACCCTCCTTTCAGTTCTTTTGGGTATATATCCAGAAGTGGAATTGTTGGATCATATGGTGATCACATTTATAATTTTTGAGGTACTGTCGTACTGTTTTTGCAGCAGCTGCACCATTTTACATCCTTGCACCATTTGACATCCTCATCAACAGGGATAAGGGTGCCAATTTCTCCACATCCTCACCAACACTTGTTATTTTCTGTGTGTGCGTGTGTGTTTTGTTTTATCGTGATTATCCTAATGAGTATGAGGTATAACCTCATTGTGGGTTTGATTTGTATTTCTCTTGATGATTAGTGATGTTATGCATGTCATTATTATTAATAGTCAGTGCTTATTTCGTTTTATCAACATATTTATTTGTTTCTTTGCTCACATGTCTTCTCATATCCTCACTCCTTTCTTCTGGGTTTAACTTCCTTCTTCCTGAAATCTATCTTTAATGGTGCGTTCTGCAAAGATATCTCAGCCTTTGTTTATGTAAAAATGTCTTTAATTTTTCTCATGTTCTTTTTTTCATAACTTTTTATTTTGATATAATTTCAAACTTGCAGAAAGAATAGTACAAAGAAATCCATATATCCTTCAGCCAGATTCGCCAATTGTTAGCATTTTTTCAAACCATTTGAGAGTAAGGTGAAGGCATCATTCTCTTTTACTCCTACCCCTAATTACATTAGTGTGTATTTCCTCAGAATAAGAATTTATTTTTTGGATAATCACAGTATAGTTATAAAAATCAAGACATTAACACTTACAGAAAACTATAATCTATAGACCTTATTTAGATTTTACCAGTGGTCCAATAATGTTCTTTTTAGCTTTTTTTTCCCTTCCTGGTTCAGGATTTAATTCAATGTCATGCATTGCATTTAGTTGTCATGTCTCTTTAGTCTCCTTTAATCTGGAACATCAGTTCCTCAAGCCTTTCTTTGTGTTTAATGACCTTGACATTATCGAAGAGTAATAGGAGTATTGTGCATATAAAATGATGGAGATATACAGAGAAAATGTCTTTGGGAAAAGATGAGGAGAAAAGTGCTCACAGTCTCGCAAGGGGGAGTCTTGCAAGTTAGAGCTTCGGTCTGAGAAATTGGATCCTCAGTATCTAGAAAAAGTAATGCAGACTCACTGGCTCCTCCTATTTTACCTAAGATGTCATAGTTCTCTTCCTCCTTTTGGTGCAGTTATACATTAGAAATATAATTAGGTTTATTTCTTTCTGTTTGTGTTCAATTTTAGTTTTTTTCCCCCTCATCCTTGTTTATAATGACTTACAATATACATCCAGAAAAGCACACAGATCTTAAGTGTACAGTTTGATGGATTGCCTGGCTGAAGCCCATAGACCCACAATATCAGTTCTGGGAGAGTCTGATGACTATATATTTCATAGCATTTATTTTGTAGGTGGGAACTGAGTGTCAGTGGCATGAGAGAAAAGCCCTGGCTTTGGAATCTAAATAATCTGGGTTCAAATCCTGGTTCTGCCATTATCAGCTCTGTGACCTTTTGCAAAATACTACACTTCTCTGAGACTTTCCCCATCCTAACACCGTAGGCTTACTGTGAGGATTAAGCTAGGCAGGCAGTTGGACCCAGAAGAATGTGGGGAACGCACACATTGTGATTGTGGAGCACAGAGCTACTGCATGGCGGGGGAGGGGGGGTGAGGTGGGGGGGGCACTGCCTGTGGCAAGAGGATGTTTTTTTTCCCAAGCAGTTGGGTTGACGTGTCACAGTGCATTCATCCTGCACCCCACTCAGACAGGTGCAGGAGTGCACCCCTTCCCTAAACATACACACACATCAAGATGGTAAGAACTAGTTCAGGAACGGTGGCTTTCCTAGCTGCATGTAGCTATCTCCAGGTACCACTCTCCCATATTCAGAACTGAGTTGGGTTTCTGTTAGGCCAATGAGTGCCAAGGCTTGAGCTTGAAACTGGCACGTGTCATGGTAACAAGGAACTTCAGTTACCCTGGTGACCTTCAGTTTGGCATGACAACCAGGGGAAGTCTCATTAGCTTGGGCTCTAGCAGAAAGGAGACTAGGAGTATCAGGGGTCCCACAGGGGTGGCCTGGTGAGATGCCTGTGCCTCACGGGCAGCCCTGGCTTGCAGCTTCATAGCAGAGCACTCAGGAGAGCTGAGCAGCTGGGAGAGGGGTATCTGGCTGGGAGCCTTGGTGGCTAGGAGCAGGGGACTGTTGACTTCCAGGCACAGGAGGGAAAACACTACTGGAGAGGAGCTGGGGGTCAAGGGAGATGGGGCAGGAGGGTAGAGAGCAGCCATAGGGCCAAAGGAGGGTCTCTTCCCAGATAGAGCTAAGTAGGGACAATGGCAGGCTGGAGCCAGAGGCAGGGTTCTGGCCTCCAGCCCCAGCCTGAGCTCCTGCCACTCACTCAGTTCTTGCTTAGTGCCGGCCTCTTGCTCTTTTTTTAAAAAAAATTATGTAATTACATATTTACAAGGTCAAGAGAATCTAAACAGTACTAAAGATTATCAGATAAGAAGTCTCCTTATACCCCTCCTGCTGCTCCCAGCACTGCTTCCGGGGAGGTTACCATTTTAAACATCTCTGTTTTAGTTCTACCATCACTAGAGGACTCAGACGTCTATCTTGACTCCTCAACTCTGGGCTGTATCTCTGCAATGAGAGACGAGCATGGTTAGGTGGCTGTATGGCTGTTACCTCCACCCCCCAATATATTCATCCCTTGCACTATACACTTGAACACACAGGCACCATGAGCAGTCTTCCATATTCTTTCACATGCTATACACCCACTTCTGGACTTGTTGTCATGAGGGCAGGTATCCTCTCAGCTCAACTGGGTGTATCCCTGGGCAGACCCCACACTCTCCTCATGGCACAAAGCCAGGGCAGGAGGAGCACCTGGATGCCTGCCTACAGGAAACAAACCCATAGTCCTCCTGAAGGCCAAGCTGACTGACTCTCAAGTGGTTCAGAGCAGCCCCCTCTGGAATAGCCAGATGGTGTTTCCCAGTGCTTGTCCTCTGGGCGGGGCCTGGAGGAGCAGCTGGCCTAGAGGCAGAAGCGAGTAGAGCCCTCTCCCTCACTGAACATAGACTCTCTTTGTGCCCCTGTAGGAGGTGTTCCGGCAGCACCGGGGGCTGCAGCTCCTGGCCCTGGTGGAGGAGGTGCTGCCCCGTCATGGCAGCAGCCACCATGGGGACTGGCACATCTCCCTGAGCAAACCCAGTGAGAAGGAGCAGCACCTTCTAATGACCCTGGTGGGCGATCAGGGTGAGCGGGGGTGGGGGCCATGGGGGGTGTTGACATGTCTGGGGAGAGGGCCCAGGAAGGCAGCAGCAGGTGGGCTAAACCATTAAACATATTCCGAGGCCACAGAAGCTCTCTGACAGGACTGTGGAAAAATGCAGCCATGGCTTTTGGACGTGGACCTCTGGGATAGCAAGATGAGGTGCTGCTTCAACTCCCTAGCTTAGAATATCAACAGGCTTGAAGATAGGAAGAGGAGGGTGGGAACATTGGGAACAAGAGGTGTGGTTTCAGCACAGGTGCCAGACAATGCAATGCACACTGTGTGGAGGGCTGAGAAGGGTTGTGTTCCGCAGCCTTGTGAGGCTGTGGAAGTGACTGGCATCACAACCTGGTGTCACATAGTGGACACTCACTAAACCTTTGTAATGAGTCAATTAGTGGGCAGCAAGCAGAGAAGTGTACATGCACCATTAGGTCCGTGTGTGGTCAGGAGCCAGGGAGTGAGGTTCTGGAAGCTCAGGCCAGAGGCTGTTCCAGGGAGCCAGGAGCCCACAGAGGGTGCGCCTCAGTGACCAGGGCTGCGCTGATAATGGTGTTTCCCCCCAGGGGTGGTGCCAACTCAAGATGTCCTTTCTATGCTGAGTGACATCCGCAGGAGTCTTGTGGAGGTAAGGGCAGGGACAAGCTCCCCTCCCATTCCTTAAAGCTCTGGGAATAGAGCTGCCTTCCCTGAGGGCCAGAGGCAGCCTGCCCCATGCAGTGAGAAGGAGCGAAACACGATTCTTGGAGCTCTTCCTTTCAGGTGTCCAAGACACAGTTTCCATGGGACATGTGAGCACTTAACTACCAACTACACAAGGCATGTGACAGGGCCAGAAAGAGGCTACAGAGGGGGTGGTGGTCAGGAGAAGACTCAGAAGGGAGGAGACCTCTGAGGGGCATCTTGATAGGTAGGTAGAAGTTTTCTGAGTAGACAGTGGGAGAAATACCATGTCTGGCCAAGGAACTGTTCAGAAGCTTGGTGCTTTGGAGTCTGTGTTATAGCTCCAGAACCATAGGAGACAGCACTAGAGGCTTGGGCAGGCTTCAGAACCCATGGGAGTCTGCAGTGCTTGGCCAGCTGGGGATAAGCTGGGGTTGAGTGGCAGGGCTCAGAGCACAGTGGATAGCCCTGCCTTCTTGAGAGGCATACCTGACCTAGTGACTGACCTGTCCTGGAGACCTGGGCTGAGGAGACAGGTTGGCCAGCTTCTCCTCCTGAGCTGCCTGCAGCACCTGTGCAGGGTGGAACAGAGCCCTGGCTGATGGGAGGGGCAGGTCCCCATTGGTCCTCCTACTCCTCATTCCACTTCCCTCCTTGAGGACAGTCACCATTTCCACCAAAATCCCTTCCACTCACTATGAAACCCAGAGATCTGTCATCAGTCCTCCTCCTTCTTGAGGGCTGTGCAGTATTTGACAACAAAAATGAGCCATACATGACTCTGCCTCCTTATCTAGTACATGCAAGGCTGAGGGGCTGGATGACATGGGGGTTCTGTTTTTTTTTGATAAGCATATTGAGTGCTTACTGAGGCCATACTGTGTGGGGTTCCCTCCTCACCACCCCAGGGCTTATGAGCATTAAGTGAGGCTCTACTGAGTGCTGTTGGTACCCCATTTAAGATGAGAGCTGAAGCCCAGAGAAGGGTAGTGACTCACCTGAGATTGTACAGCTAGTAGTGGTAGAGCCAGGCTTTGGATCAGGCCTGAATGACTCAAGACCCTGGCCTTTTATCATGATGCTGTTTTTGTGCCACCCAGATGGCTACTGAGAGCCATTCTGGTTGTGAACCTCTGGTTTTGTGAATACTGGTGCAGGTGGGAACAGATCCTCATGTCTCTTCTCCCAGCCCCTGGGTGTGACATAGCCAAAAGGCATGCTGGGCCTTTGGAAGTATATTAGTGGGCAAATTTATCAAGTTCTAGCAAGAAAAATGGATCTTTGATAAAAAGTCAATAGAGAAAAGTAGTGGAAATATACAGGCAGAAACCAAAGAAGAGCTGAATACCTCCTGGTCTTAGAAAGGGGAGCACAAGGCAGAAAGGGGCTCTCAGGTCTCTGCACTGGGGTCCAGGAGATAGCACCTTCACCCTGGCACCTGTCATCTGAGGAGGGCAGCTCACCTTTTTTCTTTTGCCCTCTGCCTGGATGCTGGTTTGTGGAGAGAATATCTGCTGGGCCATAGCAGCCTCTGGGCCAGAGAAAGCAGGTCCATCCACCCAAGACAGCCTGCAGTGTGGGCGTGGGCCTGTGTAGCTAAATACCACTGGTGATCACTCCAGTGGGAAAAGGGAAGAAGCTGGGAGGCTCGGGGTGGCCCTTGATGTGGGCTGTCCCCAGCATCTCCTGTACTGTCTCTGGCCCATATGGCCAGAATGATACCAGAATACTCCATCCCCAAGGTGGAAGTTGTTTCTCAGGGGACTGATTCAGTGGTAGTATGTGGTGGAGGATGTGTGGAAAGGGGATCACAGTTGCCCTTATCTGTATTCTTTTTTCTTAACTGGTGGGACAGGTATGGGGACTCCATCTAGTTTTGATCATGAATGGCAGGATGGGAGGGGCCAGCCTCAATGGGGTGTCAGGGCCACAACCAATTGGGTTTAGAGGCAGATTTCTGTCCCAGTAGGGTCAGTGTCAGGCAGAGCAATGGTAGGGATGTGAGGGGAGGTAGGGAATGGAGATGTGGGAGGTAGAGAGGCTTGGAGTTGCCTTCAGGTGAACGGAGTGGGCATAAGGCTGAGAGAGTCCCTCATGAGCACAGGTCCAGGCCTCTGAGGGAGCTTCAGGAGCCAGGAGTGTCAGCTCCTTCTCAAAGTCTGTCCCTGTCCCTGAGCCCCGACCCCACAGGCCCCACGGGGAACCATGATGCCCTGGGACCTCAGCTGAGGAACCTGGCCTTTCCCACCCTTAGATTGGCATCCAGAACTACTCCATGACAAGCAGCTGCCAGGCCCGGGCCAGCCAGGTGCGTAGCGACTATGGGACGCTCTTTGTCGTGCTGGTGGTCATCGGCGCCATCTGCGTCATCATCATTGTGCTGGGCCTGCTCTACAACTGCTGGCAGCGCCGGTTGCCCAAGCTCAAACACGTGGTGAGCATGAGGGCAGGTGGAGCAGGGGTCTTGGGCTGGGGTGGTACTGGTAGAGATGGGAGCGCCCAACAAGCTCCATCATCTGGAGACTCAGTGTCTGCATCTTAGGTTGGCTGGCAGTAATTATCCTGGGATGGGGTACTGCAGGTGAAGCCTTTTGTCTAGTGCCTGCATCCCAGTTTTCCCTCTGTGCAGGGCGTCAGCCCCACTCACAACCACCTCCATGGCACCAGCCCCTCCTGGGCAGGGTGGCCCTAAAAGTCTGCGCTCATCCCGAAGTCTCACCAGAGAAGCCCTGAATCAACAGTGCCTAAGGATCAAGGAAAAGGCCAGGGCACGACTCCTATGTTCCCAGCAGGCCCCTGGAGTCTCTTTATAAGGAGGCTTTTGGGAGGGATCAGCTGGTGTCAGGGAGGCCACAGGCTTGTTTAGTCAAAGGATCAGTGAAACTGTTTTAACAAAGGAGTTGAGCTGTGGGAACAGAACAGAAGGGAAGTGCCATCTGTCAAGGGTCCCCTGGGATTCCCTCTGTAGGGTTTTACACACTAGGGAAGGAACAGTGAAGTGACTTGTTCAAGGTCTTAGGCCAGGTCAACGGGGCACTTGGGTGCAGCTGGTGGGGCAGGCGAGGGCCAGGGCCTGTGGCACTCAGCCAGCAGCCCTGTCCCGGCCCGCAGTCACACGGCGAAGAGCTGCGCTTCGTAGAGAACGGCTGCCACGACAACCCCACGCTGGACGTGGCCAGCGACAGCCAGTCGGAGATGCAGGAGAAGCAGCCCAGCCTGAATGGCGGGGGGCCCGTAAACGGCCCGGGGGGCTGGAGCGCGCTCATGGTGGGCAAGCGGGACCCTGAGGACTCGGACGTGTTCGAGGAGGACACGCACCTGTAAGGACGCACGCCAGCGCTGCGCCAGGACCAGCAGGGCGGACCCGGGGCGCACAGTCGCGCCCCCTCCTTCCCGGCCTGCCGCTCCCCGCAGCCTGGCCTCCGGTACTGGCTCCTTTCGCTTCCCACCGACCCTCAAAACAGTCTTGGCACAGCCCTCCCTACTCCCACCCGACGCCTGGAGGGGCCGCTCCTGAGACCCCGATTAAAGCCGCCCGGAGTGTCGGGGCCCAGCGCGTACGGCTGCCGGAAGGCGGGGCCGGCGCCTGTTTACATCCGGCCCAGGCGCGCCGCTGCCTTTTCTGCTGCCCGAGGTTGATCGGCCTGTGTCCACCCCTCCCGCGCCATGGATACCAGCGACCTCTTCTCCAGCTGCAGGAAGGGGGACGTGGGCCGAGTGCGGTGAGGACCCCGCGGCCGGGAAGTGTGCGGGGGGTGCGGCTCTAGCCTGGGGCGGGCAGGGGACGGCCGCGGGACGGGCGGGCGCCTCGCGATACCCGCCGCAGATCACCGGTCAGCAGGCGCCTGGGTGTCAAAGACGAGGACTACGGCAGCCTTACACACGGGGGTGAGGTGCTGGCGATGATTTACTTCAGAGGGTCCTAGAAGGCTTACTGGAGAAGACTGCCACGCGGAGGCCTGAAGAAGAAGCGGGCGGAGAGAAGAGGCATTTCGCTTCCTGAGCACTCGGGGCCCAAGGCCACACTGGAGGCAGCCCTGGGACTCCCAGCGTGGCTCTTCTTTCTGATGCCTCTTTAGCTGGCGCTGGGAACCCCAAGGCCCAGAATGGGCCTCTAGTCTCCGGGGATTTGGAAACTACTAAATGCAGTTATAGAAAATCTGGTGCTAAACTTGCCATCTCCGTGAGCTTGGAGAGGGTACCCTATTGAGGTGGGGCACTTCTCTTCCTTGGCCCTTTCTTCCCTATTACTTACTCCCACAACTTTCTTGGGTCCCTCCCTGGCATCAGGTGCCACTCGGAGTTAGTTGATAACTCCCAAAGCTGAATGCTACTCTACTCCCTGATCCAACCTGGACGTCCCCCTAGGCTGTCCCACTCAGTGACATGATGACCCTCTTACCTTGACATCCCATCAGCTACCTGTCTCCTGACTTCCACCTTCTAGCATCTACTGTTCACACTTCTATACCATCAGGCTGCCTACAGCAGCCTCCTCCTCGGTCCCCCTGCCTCTAGTTTCCCCTAGCCAACCCACTGCCCCAAGCAGCCAGAGGGCCCTGGCAGAAGCAGAGGCCCAGTCACCTTCTCTCTCCCAAATGCCTTCAGGCCAGAGTTTCAGCCTTTTCAGCTCTGGGGCCTGGCCTCTGACTTTCAGGGTCTGCTTTTTGTGTTCCCACCTCCCCACCCTGTTTTTGCTGGTGCCTTTAAGAGGAATTCCTTTCCTGCTCTGGTCTGCCTGTCATCTGCCCTCAGCTGGAGGAGGCTTCCTTCATCCAAAAAGGATGTCGTCCCTCCTTCTTCTTCCGTGGGTCTCCTCTCCCAGAGTGAGCCTATCCTGACCCAGGCTCTGACCTCCCCGTTCCCACCCAGGTACCTGTTGGAGCAGCGAGATGTGGATGTGAATGTATGGGACAAGTGGGACAGCACGCCCTTGTGAGTGCCAGGTGGATGGGTGGTCAGGGTGGGTAGGGTGGGGCCTTCAGTCCTGGCAACTGCCTCCTGGTACTCCTTTTTTCTTCCTTCTCAGGTACTACGCCTGCCTATGTGGGCATGAAGAGTTGGTACTCTACCTTCTGGCCAATGGTGAGAGAAGGGGACAGGGACAGTGTGTGTGTGTGTGTGTGTGTGTGTGTGTGTGTGTGTGTGTACACATGTACTAGGGTTCCATGGCGTGTGTACACACTTTCAAACACTCTTAAAAAAAACTTTCCCTCCTATACTCAGTCAGCAAGTACTTTTGGCTCTACTTTCAGAACCTGTTCTCTGCTCTGTCCACTTCCTATCACCCCTGCTCCTGCCCAACCCAGCTACAGCATCTCTTCCTGGATCATCTCTGCCTGGACGCAGCGCCATCTTCCTCACTGGTCTTGACAGCTGCCCCTTCTGCCCCACCTACAGTCTGTTTTCTATATCACAGCCAATTGGGGCTCAACAATTGGGGCTTATTAAAATCCTCTGATGGCTTCCTACTGCATTTAACATAGAACTAGCATGCCTTGCTCTTCCTGGGAGATGCCACAGGGCCTGCTCCTCCCAGTATGGCCTCTCCTCTTTGGCTCTCCCATATGCTCATTGTTCCTGCCATACTGGACTCCTCTCTGGTGCTCCAGCGCCCCAAGCTTGCTCCTGCCTCGGGGCCTGTGCACTTGCCATTTCTCCTGCTTAAACTGCCTTTTCCCAGATCTTTGCATGGTTGATTTCCTCGCTTCATTCTGGTTTCTGCATATTGTCACCACCACTGTGCCCTTCCGTGGCTTCCCTATGTGGCAGCTGTCATCAGTGTCATCCTTTGTCTTGCTTTGTTTTTCTTCATAGTACCTAACATCATCTGTTGGTTCATTTATTGTTCTTCCCCACTGGAGTATCACTTCGGTGAGGACATAGACCTGTCTGTTTATGGCAGTGACCCCAGTGCATAGTACAGGGCCAGCCTCTGAGCCTACTCTGTTTTGTGTAGTCTCTGGTATGTATGAGTGAATATGTGCGTGTGAGTGTACAGGGTTATGCCTGTGTGCCTAGGCCCTGGAAGTGTGGATGCTGGAGTTAGTGGGCCCAGGGTCACTGAAAGGGGCCTTCAGGGCTTACGGGACTCACATGTAAGGAGAAGGAAGATGGGGATTAGGAAGTCCCCAGGCCCCCAGGCCCCTCCCCAGCTGTAGCATGCAGCCCCATAGACCTGCTGCTGATGAGTGCTGCTGCCCCCAGGAGCCCACTGTGAGGCCAACACCTTCCAGGGTGAGCGCTGCTTCTATGGGGCTGCAAGTGATACCATCCGTCGGGCCCTGCGTGATTATAAGCAAGTGACAGCCTCCTGCAGGAGGCGGGACTACTACGACTTCCTGCAGCGGTGAGATGGAGCATAGGGCATCAGGATAGCTTTTGCCCAGTGGATCGTGGTGGTTGTGGACTGCATGGGGCTGAGGACTCTCCTGTGGGATGGGCCGGGGAACTAGAGTGGTTAGACTGAGGAGAGATCTTCTGCTGAGTCCCCGTCCATCTGCCCCTTTCCAGACTTCTGGATCAAGGCATTCACAGCGATGTGGTCTTCGTGGTGCATGGGAAATCTTTCCAGGCCCATCGCTGCATCCTGGGTGCACGCAGCACTTACTTTGCCAACATGCTGGACACCAAATGGAAGGGCAAGAGCATTGTGGTCCTCAGGCACCCACTGGTGCGTCCCTCCCTGGGAGTGGGTAGCAGAGGGACAGCAGGGGGCTTGCTTGTATTGAGCTACACTTCTGACCTTTCCTCCTGGCTGTCTCTGCCCGCAGATCAACCCCGTGGCCTTTGGGGCCCTGCTGCAGTACCTGTATACAGGTGACCCCCCAGGCCTGGGTCTGGCGGGCAGGGAGAGGGCTGCATTTCTCTCCAGCAGCAGACCAAGCCATGGCCTTGGGCTGACTTTTTATTGCCTGGTGCTTTGTCCCCTGCAGTGCAAGATGGTTCTAGCTGCCTTCTGGGTTGGTTGGGAGGCAATGAGCTGATATGTCTACTAAGCAAGAGTTTGACCCACAAACTGAGCCCCCTTCTCATCTGCTCTGGGGCCTGTAGAACTCGGGCAATGGCTCTTGATAGGGGAACCAAGGCAGCATGTAGGCCCAGAAATCCCAGCCCTGCCTCTAAGTGGCCATGTGGGAGGGACAACCTACGAAACTGTGTGCTTGGGCACCGCTAATGGCCCTTCTCAGGCCCTGAGCTTCACACACTGCACCCAGGCTGCCTGGACATCAGCGTGGAACACATCAGTGACTGTGAGCGCCTGGCGAAGCAATGCCAGTTATTGGACCTGCTCAATGACCTGGAGGCCAAATGCAAGGAAGTATCTGAGTTTGGTGCGTTCAGGCTTTGGGGTCCAGGACTTTGGGCAGGAATTCACAGGGCCAACCTAGCTCCCTCAAGCTGCACTCTCTCCTCTGCAGTGGCATCCAAGCCAGGCACTTATATGAAGGTGCTGAGCATCAGGCCTCCCCCAGAAGACCCCCGGCTCCGGGAGGACCTGGCCCTACTGGCTCATTGTGCCCTGCCCCCTGAGCTCCAAGTAAGCACATCAGGGCCTGGGGCAGGCATGGGGCTGGGCCTGGTGGGCAGGAGGCTTGTTTAGGGACAGGACTGTGGTAGGGAAGCCCCACATTTGGGTTCAATTTCTTGTGTGGCCTTGAGCCAGTCACTTTTTCTGAGTCTACTTGTTTACTTCTTGATGTTTGTCTTGTATTTAAATCTGCAAATAGGGTGGCACTTTACCCCTCCAAGATCAAGCTAGAGCAAGCTAGAATAGGCTCTTGGCTGAGGCTGGCTACTCTGCCTTCTTCCACCTGCTCTAATGGCTTCTCCTCTCCTATCCCCCAGGGTGATCTTGGGGAGCTGCCCTTCCCTTGCCCCGATGGCTTCAACATCTGCCCTGATGTTTGCTTCCAAGTAGAGGGCTGCAGTTTTCTCTGCCACAAGGTGCCATCTACCACCCAGCACCCCAACCCCCTGCCTTAAGCTCTGGGCCAGTTCCTCTGGGCACAGCCCCGGCCCTGGTCTTTTCTAAGCCCAGTCTTCCCCAGGCTTTCTTCTGTGGCCGCAGCGACTACTTCCGGGCCCTGCTGGATGACCACTTCCAAGAGAATGAGGGCCTAGAGGCCTCTGGCGGCCTCCCGGCTGTCACCCTGCATGGCCTCTCGCCTGACATTTTTACCCATGTGGTCTACTATATATACAGCGATCACACAGAGGTGCGAGTTAGGGTGGGCTGTGTGCACTGGGCCCAGGGTTTCGGGAAGGGGCACAATAATGATCAGGACAGTTACACAGCTTGTGTTACTGTGGAGCTTCAAGGG